TAATAAGTCCAAATCCAAATATTATTAAGTTATGTAATAAGAATGTATATACACAAGTTTTTATATTTATTCTCAACATGTCATTCAATCTTGAACTGCAAATTATTGGGTAATCTGAAATGCACCATGGTAAACTTGGCTGTTTAGGTATGATTTCCACTTTGTTGAGGAGGAAGGGGCACTTCCTTTGCCAATATGCTGTCTAAACCTGGCCAAATAGTTTAAAATAGTTTTGTTTGTTTGCTCTTGGGGTGCGGTTCTGTCTCTTAGCCACACAAGGGAGCCCCACAGCCAAACATGAGGCTCATGCAGAGTGAAAGAAAACATTATGGATGGAAAAGCATATGTTGCCAGTTCTGGCAACTGGTCTTTTGCCTGTTGGGTTTCAGAAGGCAGTATGTTGAAGATCTCCAGCTGGTTTGTTTTGGGATGTGCTTGACTTAAGGTGATAGATTTGGCCTTTGATTGAGACCAGACTGCACTGTGACGCTAATCTACATTCACTCTGGTGTGCCTCGCAACCTGGTTTGCCAAGGCAAGGTTATATAGTATCAATTTACCACAGCTCTAATTATTTCACCAGTGCTGCTAACATTGCTCATGCAACACTTTTTGTGCAATAGTGTTTTCAATATGTATGCAACTTTTGAATTAGTAAAAAAAAAATTTAGGACAGAGTTTCACAGAATACATCTTAATGAACTCTGTGACCCCTTTTCATGAACTCTTCTGACCACCCTGCACCACAATTTTACAAATGTTGTTATGCAGTGCAAGTTCATTCTGGAAGTGGAGCAAGGTTCCTGAGTTGGGGGAAAGGTCAGGCTTGTTGGCCTCTATGTATTTTGTCGCCACAGCTTCGCTGACAGATCTGAATTTGATTTATGACCATCCTTTAAGCTCTCAGACTGGCTTTGAAAGGGACAAAGACAGGGGAACAAGAGGGAAGAGAGGCAGTAAAGACAGAATAAATATGCTGAGAAGTTAATAGGCTTTTTCTGTATGCCTTAATTTTCTGTACTGACATTGAGTAGCAGGTTTTTGCAGATGCTGTTTGAGCCAAAATGTCACCATGTCCAGTACTAAGAAACATGAATGAGGGTGAGGGTTTAAAAGTGCAGGGGTATTATGACGTGCTTTTTTTTTTTTTTTTTTATATGTGTAAATCATCTAGTTGTAAGAAATTAAAACATATAAATTATGTTTATAATTATAGCCATTTTCTGTAATTAATGTACAACTAAATATTTAGGGGCCAGCCGGGCCACTAAGGGCAAGCTCACACTACAGGACTGTAAGACATCAAGGTTTCTTGTAGGGATGAAATGAAAATTCTGGGCCGAAACTGAAAATTCAGGATGCACTTGGCTGGAAACTGGAGAAAAAAAATACAATTACTGAATACAATAAATACATTTTTTAATTAAATTAAATAAAAAAATAAAAAACGTATTTAATAATCAAACATCAGATAGCTAAAACTTAGTTGTACAAACATTTAAATTGCACATGAGGCACATATCATCTTTTTAATAACAGATTTGTTTCTACTCTTGTTTTGTTTTCATGACAGATTTATTCAAACAAACATTAAATAATGAAGACATTCCTAACAGGTTAATAAAAATATAATGAAAATGTAATACAATGCATACATTTAGCAAAAATCTTGTAGTCAGACTATTTTATTTACACTGCAAAAAAATGGCTATCTTTTTCCATTAAAATATATAAATATCCTAAAACTTATGTTTACCTTTTTAGGCAAAATTGCATACATAACTCTTTTTTTGAAAAGTAGGCCTATTTTATACACTTTTGCTTTTATGGATATTTTGATATATTTATTCTAAAACAAGACAAGGATACTAAATGATTTTTAGCAATGTTATATGATTGCACAAATGGGATTTATAGTCCGTATTTTATATTTTCCTATTGTCTTGTACCGTTAAACATGGTATCATTTGGATAGGAATATGCATATGGAAATGATATGCAGATGAGGACATGCATAGCAAAACTAGGCGTTGTAGGCGACATATATGGTTATTTCTGGGAGGAGACGGGGTGGAAATGCATATACGCACAATCTTTCGCTGACTGGGTTTTATATGGGGAATTTTGTTTTGTACACTTTTGTATGTACGCGCACTTTTAGGAAGAAATCTACGTAAAGTTTTATGCCAGAGGCCCCTGGTCTTGACTGCTCATAGAAAATATAGTCCTGACTGGGACTTGATGGATTTGAGTCCAAGTCCGATAAAGACTGAACTCGGACAGAGACTAAGACCATGTTTTTAGCAGCGTTTGGATTTGACTTCGACTTGGGCTTGGACTCAGTCTGTGTCCAGTCTTGTCTGGACTGGAGTACTACAACACTGCAAACAAGCCTTTGTCAAGCCTTAAAATACATTCTTTAATTTAACTAGAGAAGTAAAGTGTCAAAAATCTTACTGAATTGTTCAATTTCAAGCATTTTAACTCTACCTGCATTCTGCTTCCTGTTTGCTTCTTCAATTCAAATGCAGTTCTAAATGTTGCACAACTTTGTCTGCACTTCCCAGCCCTGATCAATATCAGAATCCATGCTGACAGAAAATCGATGACTGGTATCAGTCATAATTTGGTCCAACTCAAATATGTAGTGCATTTACACATGACACCCAGCAGCCTCCAAACATTACACCTCTCTTCTTCCTCTCCACCATCTGAGAGAAGGTGAATAATACACTGTAGCTTTCTCCCACATGACCTACATTCTGTTCTTTTTATCAGGAGACTTGATGAACTATCATTAATTATTTATAGAAGTTTTTCTCTCTCGTTCAGGATTCTCTTGTGACATATTTTGCGTTAAATAATTTAAACTCTTGTTTTTTTTGTTTTTTTTTTTGTTTTTTTTAAATCACTCTCGGCTTTCTTTTTCCATAGAAAGACTTGCGCTTGGTTTTTACAGTTTGCTTTGTGTTCATTGGTGGAAAGTTCATCCAGAGTACATGTGCTCAATAAAGAAGTTTTTTTTTTTTTTGAGCACAAACAATCTTTAAGCTCATGCTTCAACTGGAGCTGATTCACTACTGACTTTTTGATTACTTCCATTTGGCCTGTTCTGACATTTTGGTCTGGTCTAACATGGTGTTGATTTTACAATTTTAGTGGATGAACAGTTAATGAATTATCCCAAATACAAATTCATGCTGATAGTGTATGAGCTTCTTTTCTTTCTTTTTTTTAAGATTATTAAAGCCAAAGCCAAATCAAAAGTTCTTTAGTGGCTACATAATGATTAAGGAAGATATGATTTACAGAGCTCATGCAAAAACTCTCTCAGTTCATTAACTGGTTAGTGCTCTGCTATGGTGGGTCAGGAAAAGACAGGCCCAGACCAGCATTGTAATTCAGCCCACGGCAGCATGTTGACTGGGAGCAGTTCCATGAGTTCATTTTTAGCGCTGGCCTTGAGTCTTAGTGGGTCTGCCTGGCAACACTTTAATCACTTAGGCCCTGTTTACACCTGGTATTAACATCCGTCTCTGGTGATCTGGTTCCAAGTGGTCATTTAACCAAGAACGATTGCTGTATACACCTGTAGTTAACATGCGTCTGCTGTGGCAAGTTTTGATTGCATCTCTTATTGAGTGAATGTCACTGCATGTTGATAAAGCACATCAAATATAAACATTTCAGTTGTAATGAGTAAAAGTTTCACCTGATCTCTGCTTATTGCTGTTTGAGTATGCTAATATCTTATTTCTATATTAACTGATATTCAATTATGCATGTTTCACATGATCTCTGCAACTGCATGAAGTATGCATAAAATAGTCTGTGATGTCTTGTGATTTGTATATGTATGGGTTTTTCCAGTTTTGTTGATTCAACATATTTTTAATTCCACTGAAGATGAGACCAAAAAGACACATCATTGCCATCCTCATGCATATACTTTTACACATGTACATGTGTTCAAGTTAATTCACGAGCAATATAGACATTATATGCTATTCTTTTAGGACAATCGTTTTTTACGTTACGTTTTATGTTGATAAATTGTTTTATACTGGTAAATCTTTTATATTTTGGACACATTTAAATTCATATTGAGACATTTTTAAAATGTTTGAAAATTTGCTGTTAAACAGATGGTTTATTCAGTTATGGCGCTTTTCCACTACACAGTACCAGCTCGGCTCGGCTCGACTCGACTCGCCTTTGTTTGGTTTTCCACTGTCTAAAAGTTGTACCTGTACCTGCTTTCGGGTACTTTTTTTCGTACCACCTCCGGCGAGGTTCTTAGCGAGCTGAGGCGAGCTAAGCCGATACTAAAATGTGACGTGAAAACAATGCCGACTGCTGATTGGTCACAGAGAATCTGCGTCATCATTGCACGCGCCAGATGGAGTATCCAGAATAACCCCGCCATTTTTAAATAGTTTGGCCAGAGATAGTTACTAAACTTACTACTATTATTATGGCAACTCGGAAGAATACGCCGTGGTCAAACGAGGAGGTGCAGACATTCCTTTGTTTGGTTGCCAAAGAGAGGATCCAGCGAGAGCTTGATGGGGCAACGAGGAACGAAATGCGTCGCTATGACGACCGGGTACTATTTGTGGCGGTACTTTCTGCAATGGAAAACGGAGCGAAAAGCGAGCCGAGTCGAGGCGAGCCAAGGCGAGTCGAGTCGAGCTGGTACTGGTAATGGAAAAGCGCCATTAGACACTTTGTTCTTTTTGCATATAATTGTCAATTAATGCATTTTTATTTTTAACATTTAACACCTATATATTTAGCATTATGAACTTGTGATTGGATTTCCCAAGATCGATGTGTAAACTGTGTCTTAGTCACTTAAGCCTTTGTCTCACAGTCCCTCACACCCACATGCACACTCTTGTGTCTGCTAGTTTTTTTGTTTTGTTTTTTGTAACTAGATGGTTTCCATCTCATTGGTTTTTGTCATCATGTGCTAATGGAAGTCTGACTTTTTGTTCCAGGTCCAGGTGCCCCCACCTCATGGAGAAGGTTGGCAAGGTGTGGAGCAACCTGAAGAGGGGATGTCAATCTCTGCTCCACACAGATGGGGGTTCTCGCATTGAAATGACACCACAGCTTCAACAGCAAAAAGACATGGTATGCCACGTTGTGGACAAGGCCCAGGGAGACAGCACACTTGAGGCTGCCAGTCCCTCTAGCAGTGTGGCAGCACTCCCACAAGTGCCATGGAGGACCAGCGGGAGTGTGTCACGACGGGGCCATAACTGTGTAGCGGATGTACCCCAGATACTAGAGATCACAGTCGAGCAGGATACTGAAGATGCTCGTGCTCCCCTGGGAGCCCGCAGAGATTCTTATTCACGTCATGCACCTTGGAGTGGAAAGAAGAGACACTCGTGTTCCACTAAGGCCCAGAGTTCTCTGGAGACCACAGATCGTCGATCGAGCCGGTCTCGGCGCAGACATGGGACTGGTAGTAGCCGTGAGGAGTTGGAGTCCGGAGCAGCACGCTCACTACGCCAGCAGATCCATGATACAGTGGGCCTGTGCCTCCCATTGCGAGCATCTTCTCGAAACACTCACCTTCCACCACCCAAACGTAAGATTCAAATTACGGAGCTGATGCTGGAGACGTGCCCCTTCGCACCAGGATCAGATCTGGCCCGAAAATGGCACCTCATTAAACAGCACACTGCTCCGGTCACAGTGACAGCAGTCGATTCGTCCTCGGATGCCCCTGGTGCTGCCTGTGCATCACCGGAAGATGAGGAGGAGCGCTTGCGAGAAAGAAGACGACTCAGCATTGAGGAGGGTGTGGACCCACCTCCAGATGCCCAGATCCACACAGTGGAGGCCATCACAGCCCCCCTAGCTTCTCTTTATAAGCTGGGACCTAAGCTGGCCCCTGGAATCGGTGAGGGCCTAGGCGATAGCCAGGGGGCAACAGCAGCTAACTGTGATTCTGAGGATGACGACAGCACCACTCTTTGCTTGCAAGCTCGCAGGCCCAAGCAGCGGCACACTTCAACTGAGAGCCACCTGAGCAGCAAGCAACCGGGGCCTTGGAAAGTACACACCCAGATCGACTACATCCATTGCTTGGTTCCAGATCTGCTGCAGATCACAGCACTTCCCTGCTACTGGGGTGTGATGGACCGCTACGAGGCTGAAGCGCTGCTGGATGGTCGGCCCGAGGGCACCTTTCTGCTGCGAGACTCAGCTCAAGAAGACTATCTGTTTTCCGTTAGCTTCCGGCGCTACGGCCGTTCGCTGCACGCACGCATCGAGCAGTGGAATCACAACTTCAGCTTTGACGCGCACGACCCTTGCGTGTTTCACGCAGCCACCGTCACAGCCCTCTTGGAGCACTACAAGGACCCCAGTGCTTGCATGTTCTTTGAGCCGTTACTCACTGTGCCTCTGCACCGGACCTTTCCATTTGGCCTGCAAAGCCTGGCTCGAGCTGCCATTTGCAATGGGATCACCTACGATGGCATCGGGGCACTGCCACTGCCCCCTGCTCTGCAGGACTACCTCAGGGAGTATCACTATAAGCAGAGGGTGCGCGTACGCTGGCTTGAGAGGGAGCCAGTCAAGGTCAAGTAAGGCAGGGCAGATACTTCTCAGCTCTCCAACAGGAGTAGTCCATTCAGCACTTTGCAGAAGTGGAGGAATTACAAGTTTTTTTTCTTTCTGGGGGGTTGGATGTTCGGGGATGGAGGTATGAAAGGAGGGACCTGAAACTGAACACAATATATAAGCTTCTATCATTTTTTTTTTTTTTTTTTATCACTCAAACAAGCAAAGAAATTACAAATACAGTGGCTCTCCAGTGTGCACATTTCACTACAGCTTGCACTACAGGACTAGGATGACACAGCAGATGTCTTGGTCAGATTTGAACGCCCTTCTCCCTCAGTTCCCACGGCCTTGCTTTAAGGGGGATCTGCAGATACAGATGTTTTCGTGCTCCTCCACTCTTTCACTGCTTGACTGTGGTTTTATAGCCATTTCCGTTCACCTTCCTGCCTGCCCTTTATTCCCTTGCATTAAAATTGCATTGTTAATGTTTATTCAAAGTAATATTGTGGACAAATTCTGAGGGGAGGGGAAATGAAAGGTAATGTTCAGATATTGCTTTTTCCAGCTTTTTCATCATCTTTAGCTTTCATGGTGCTCTGTCAGTGGTTCCCATGGTAACATTCTGTGCTCATTCCGAGGTTAGAGGCATTCTGGAGTAGGATATAGAAACGCTTTCAGAAACCCTGCTCATGGAGAATGAGGCAGTGAGATCCATGAAAGATGGATTGACCTTAAACTATGTATCTAGACAGATTTTGGCAATGCATTGGAGTGAAGAGAAGGGCTCTGTAATGTTTAGCTTCCTTGCGCTTCCGGGAAGCGATAAGGATGATGGTGCACAACATGATGTGGTGTGATGTGAGAGCGTTTGGTTTTCAAAAAACATTGTTACTCACACTCTGCCTTCTGTTGCTGTCAATATGTTTTGTAATCATTAATTCCTATCACTAATTGCACAGGGAGGGGGAGGGGAGGGGGGGGGTGACTAATTCTGTATCTTTTTTTGTATTGTTGTGAATGGTCTATCAGTGCCCTTGAAGCTGGGCACTGATTAAGAGCACTTTAACTTAACTGTGCTTGTATTAGTGGGTGCAGCAGAGGCGATACATAAACCTGCTATGCTGGGACCATTGTTGTTAGGCATAAACACCCTCCTATATACAGGAGTAAACACTCTACACTCACTTTGTTTAACCCACATTCATTGCTCTAGACAGGACAGTAAGTTTTGAGGTGACCCTGGCAGTGCCATCAGATTTGGGTCAAGCTGACTTGTTTTGTGAGACCTGCTTAATTTAAATGATTTTAATAATTGATGAATAATCTTTAGTACATATAAGGTTAGCAGATTCTTTTTTTTAAGCAACTAGGAGAAAGGTTTGGAATTTTAATACATGGAGCCCCCCAGGCCAAGACCAGCTTATTGATTACTTTAGAATCACATCCACACTTGAATTTCTTTAAATACAATGAGGGATTCCAAATAGTAAGTATAGAGAAAAGGACATATTTATAACTCATGTGCTGTTTGCCCCATTTGAAAAAAAAGATAAGATCACTTAAGCTAGCGATTCCCAATCCTGGTCCTGGGGTGGGGGGGTGCCAGGACCAAGATTGGGAACGGCTGACTTAAGCAGTCTGCATACATTTAAAGCGTTAAGTACATCATCATGGTGCATCAGTAGATTTGTTACTAAAAGTGGTCCAATTGGAAAAGACATATGTTTTCCAATGACCGTTCGAGTGTCAGTGACACCATTAGACATCCTCTTCATGGGCCTGGTGCTGATGTGTGATGTATTTTGAATACTGCTAGGGATACAACTATTGATCCCCACATCTTTCTGACTTTTCAATTGATGAGATCAGGTAGAACTGCCAAATGCTAAGCTCAGGCTCGCAACACTTTAACAGCAGGGTAGTACAGTGCAAATATAACCAGCTTTGTGTGCTTGTGTGTGTGTAAGTGTGTTGCACTGACTCTGACCTCAGTCAACTGTAAGAGACTTCTGCTGACATGAAAAGTTTGTTATACGCTCCTCCCAGGCAACACTAATCCACAGTCTATCCTGATGCATTTAAAGTTGTCTTCCTGCACATTATCCTGTTGAGTCTTTTTTTTCCTTGCACAAGAAAGGATGTAAGGATCATCCTGGGAAGAATTCAAAGACTTGAGGAGAGAACTTTGGGGTGACATCACTGCAACCACTGGGTGGTTTGATCTCCATCACCACACTATCTCTTTTTGTTGGGTGTGGGTGAAATTTGTGCAATTTAGACAGAGCCTCTGCTTGTATGATGGTTGTGAAACAGGTTTCAGGTTGACATGGCATCTGAAGGGGCCAGCTGTCCTGCTTACTGCTCAACTGTAAGAGTGTCATGCTTGGCTTTGTTCCAGACACTCCTCACTGCACTAACCCATGAAACTTGACGTGTACCTACCTATACCTGTGTACCTATTATACCTGTGTACCAATTTTCATCAGGGGTGGAGCATTTGCTCAGTCAGTTAAGGGCGGAGAAGAGGATCATGGTGCCTCTTCTCTCCCCCTATAGTTTTCCCTAGTCTTACTAAAGGCATAATGGATTCAAATGGATACCTATCACATATATATATATATATATATATATATATATATATATATATATATATATATATATATATATATATATATATATGTGTGTATATGTATATATGTATATATATATGTATATATATATATATATATATATATATATGTGATAGGTATCCATTTGAATCCATTATGCCTTTAGTATATATACATATATATATATATATATATATGTATATATATAGACAGATTTTTTAAATGAAATATTTTTTAATAGGAGTAATTTAAGAAATGCAATAATCTACTTGGGCTTGGCTATAATGGTGAAAACTGATGTGAATTGTCTGAGAAATAGGTCTCCTTTGAAATTGTCTTCAGGTTAGAATCATTCTATTCACATTACTACAACATAGGATGTTGGTGCAGTGTGTCATAAAGGTGTGTGAAATAAACTAGATAAATGTGACCAAAGGTTTAAGTTTGGTAAAAAATTGTCAATGTGATAGCTTTCTCACAAAATGATTGCTAAAATGTTCCAAGATAAACATTTCGAAGTAAAAAATAATCTAGTTTTAGACCCTAAAGGTGCTAATTGGCTCACTGTATGGATTAATTAACTTTCAGAAGTGCCTTTTCTTAAATACTTCACTCACTTTCCTCAAGTAACCCAACTTTAGTGGTACCCAATCTGGTTAATTTTGCATCTTGCAGCAAATTAAAGCAAAATGCAACACAAACGTATGCATCAGTTTTGAGTTTTTATACAAGCGTGTTGTGTGCTGAAAGAAAGTTCAAAATATCACGAAGAATTTGTGAACAAAAAGCTTTTATTCCCCCTTGTTTTAGGATCCAAGTTGTTAAGGTCTGGATTTGCTGTTTATCTGTTCACCAGAACAGTAGAGTTAAATGTGATTATGAAATATTTATAGTCCATCAGGTGTATGATTGACTCAAGTGATGCACATGTAAATGTGCATAGATGGAGACTTTATCACAGATGGCCAGAAAGCAAGATGAAAGGTCATGATTATCAGATGTGATACTAAGGCTTAGATTGGCACTGCTTGGCCTCACATGATATGAGCTGTCAATAGCCTAGCTGGAGAATTTCTTCTAGAAAATAACAATATTATGTTAAAATGTTAGAGAGAATGTTGCAAGCCATTTTGTGTGCAGAGCCTTGCACATTACCAACAGGAAAAGCTTTCTGTTCAATATTATTTGATGTTTCTGTATACAAACTATAGGGAGATTGTGTTCAGCAATGTTTAGAGGGAAATAAAAGACGTGCTGACATGTATTCAATTCTGCTGGATCTGTTTCAGATTCAATAATTCACTAGAATCACCAGGGTAACTGTGTTACCTTAAAGTTTGAATGGGCTGAAGGTGAGATTTAGGACTGGGTGCCAGGATGACAACACTTGACAATGATTACACTTAAGATGACTCTTGCGCCACCCATGACCTGCTGCCGAATTTCTGATTGGACCCTTGGGACAAGCCCCTCAAGACACTTACTGAAACATGCACCATGGTTCTAGAGTGACATGGATATCACTGTCTCTCACCATTTTATGTTTTAATTTTTTTTATACACTGCCCAAGGTTTGTACTGTACAATGTAATTACTCGCACTCAATGTCCTCTCTTATCTTTCCTTCATTCTCTCTTATGTACAGTTAATGGTCCCTACTCCCAGGCTGTTACTAAGTTGCTCTGTTGTATTATTTTTTTTGACTTTGGGTTACAGTTTGTTGTTTTTGGGGGCTCCACATGCCCCTCTTTCACCAGTAGCTGTCACTCTTGGTGCTCTTGGCTTATGCTTCATTGTCTTAATATTCAAAAATAAAAGTGTTGTATGTGTAATCTGTTTCCCTGTTTTCCTTTTGCATTTAGCACACTTGACACCAGATTGGATCTAAATTTGATATTGACAATTTTCTGTTAAATTTAAATGCCACCTCAATTAAATGTTTTGAGATTCGTTTTCAAGGGCTGGGTATTTTTTTAGGATGCTAAATTAATCCTTTTTTGTGTTTTTAGTTGGCCTTTTGTACTTTAGCCTACTAGCTTAGCATTGTGCTAACAGGTTAAAAAGCACTTTTGATTAAGAATTAAGATATCATGAAAATGTGCTACATTTATGGTCAAACATTGAGAAAATGGCTCTTCCATGACTGGAACTGGAAGTGTCAGGTTATTTGTATCTGCAGTGTGTTCTGTTGAAGTCGGGTAAAAATAGTAATAGATGAAGTTAATCTGCAGCAGACTTCTAAATAACTTAAATGCTGCATTGAGGAAGAGGGAAGGTAGGATGGAGGTGTGAGAAAAATATGTAATCTCTCAATCTAATGCACTAGTCACTTCACACCAGTATTGTATAATCCACTTCTTACCAATTCTGCATTAAACCTACGTTCCATGTGTTTTCAGTCCTCTGTTCGGGACACTTGAGGTCAGTGGGTAAATGTGTAGGGACTTGCAGGAGTTCAGCATGGTTGGAGCCTGCCTTAAAGACACTGTACTGAACTATAAATATACCCAGACATCTGGGCTTCGCAACGGTTTGAAGTTCACAGTAAGGTCCGCATGATCTTGTGTTAGCCACAAATGAATAACTGACATCTGGTTCATCTGGTCTTGTCATCCAGCTTAAACAAGGTAAGAAAAGAATAGTCAACCTTTTTTTAGCAGACAAGTCACCCAACAATCTTCCTGTCCTCTGCTAGAGTTATTTTGACTTCGAAAAAGAAAAATCCTGTCAATTTACCTTAAGGACATCTCGAATGCTCAGTTCTACCCCCTTGTGGTTAAAAGTACCATTCAAGCAGCCTGTTCTGCGAGTTCATAGAAAAGGTTCTAGGTCACTCGGCTCCTATTGCTGGGCCCAACGTTGCGATATTATAATATGTTGCCGGTTCATCATTCAGGCTTTGTCTGTTTTACAGAAATGGGGAGGGCAAGGGTCGGGTTGCATCCTCACACCATGTCTGGCTGGATCTTAAGATGAGACATCCATGAAGTGGGCAGTGAGTTACCGGGCAGTGAGTTACCAGACATGCAGTAACAACATGTAGACCTATTTATGAAACATTCAACATCAAAG